TAATGCTTCCCCTTCTCCCTTAATTCGGTCATGAAATTTAGATTTGCATATGCATGGACAAGAGTGAAAACAGGGACACGTTAGAAAGTCAAGCTTATAAATCAAAGGTTGGATTCACATATTTTAAGTAATATGATAACAGAAGGCATTAATTCCCAAGCTAAAAGGCTACAGAAGAGAACTAGCTCTTGTGCCAACAACTTACTGCATGACCTGAAGAAAGTTTTTCACCTCTGTATAATTCTGCTTGTTGTTTCATTCTGTAAATTCTAGGAAACAATTTGTTTATATAGCATTTTAGTCTTCTTCAGGGTAAGTCTGTTGGATATACTTTCGATGCTGTTGGTACTCAGATACAAGAAAAACAGCTCTTGTTATTGTAGGGTTTTGAAAAAAACCTATAGGGTTTTTTTCACTTGGTTTTAGGACTAAGGAAATATGACACTTAGTTCTCTACCCTTTCTTGAGAAAGGATTAATATTTTATGAAGTAACTCAAATTCTGAAAGTTTACCACATTATAACTGAAGCTCTTGTTTGTGCAGGTTACCAGCCAACAAGTGCAAACTATAAAATTCAGATGGCTGAATTAGCCGGATTAGCAGAAACTCTCGTTTTGTCACTAGTGTTAGTTGAAAATCAACTTGCTGAGAAGTTGTGGGTACTTAAAGCTCTCCAGCATCTCTCCAGCTCTGGTTAGTACAAACTGTTCTTTCAACAATCTGATTACCTCTGATCTTAGATCATTTGTTCTCTGAACATGCCTAAAATAATTACTGACCTACAGGGAATTAATTATGTGGATTTTCATAATTTCAGGAGTGAATTGCAGGCTTATGATGAAGGCCCAAGCAGCCAGCAGACTCTGTTTGTATCTAAATGGTGCTGATCCCTCAGGACAGCTGGTGTTCCGCTCTTCAGAAATCCTATGGAACCTGTTAGAGAATACCTCAAAAGAAGAAGTTGTTAAACAGCTCAGTCGCTTGGAATGTGTACAGTAAGTACAGGGAATTGTTTTATTAATTAATATTGTAATCTTGGAGACATCTAAAGCGTTGCTATTGTTTAGCATTTTGTTAGAAATTAATTGAAAGAAAATATGAACAGGAAAATGGAGGTCTCATTAAGTTTTCAGTATTAACATAGCTGATTCTTCAAAATGGAAGCACTACTAGATCAGACCTCATACCCAAGCACCCATGATTTAGACTCCTCAGGCATCTGTTTCTGTTTGGGCAAGTTAGATAAGTACTGTGAACCAAGAGGTACCTGCCAGGCAGCTTACAAACTCAGTGGCCAGGGTCCAGCTAAAAGTGCATGCAGTCAACTTCAGAACTATTTCAATTGTCCAGCCTCTCTTCATTGCATGAACACAGCAATCCACCACCAGCTGCTCCTGTGACAGGGCAAGAGATTCTCTGCTGCATAGTGCAGGAGGTATGGCCCTAGTTATTGCTTTATATGATCAAAAAGTTAACTGCACCATTTTCAAACCCACATTAGGTTCAGTGGGCCAGTACTGCTGCCCTGTTGAAGTGTTTGTTATATATTAGTAGGAAATGCTATGGTGTGGCATACATGGCTTAGTTCTAGATCTTCTGCTGTAGTATATAGCAGGCTCTCCCTTAGTGAGTTACACTGTTTTAACTGTTTAGAATTTGACCATTTTTTCTCAAGAATCATTCAACAACGTCCAGTTCTATTATGTCTTTCTATTAATTAATTACAACACAGACAGTGGAAGCTGCAGTTTGTAATACATGCACCTTCCATATATGCTTAAATTGGATGCTTGGTGGTACACATAAGAATCCACTTCATAATTAAGTTTTAAGGTACTTCTCTTGCAGTTAAGCCCTAAAGCTATGAAAAGTATGATGCTGAGTGAGGATCCATATACCTTGTGCTGTCTAAAATTAGAACTTGAAATGGTAAAATGCATTTCACTTTCTTCTAAGTGTTTTGAAGCAAGTGTTTGTAGACCACCTCATGGATGGTTTCCGGCATTATGATCGTCAGCTACGGAATGACCTCTTGGTGTTTGCCACATTAGTAGCTGAAAACCCTGCAGCACCTATGATTGTAAGTATTTATAGTTCTATTCCAGAGACTAATAACTTCTTCTTTGCTGTAATATACTCAGTATTTTTCTCCATTAGTGTTCTAATATTTGTTCTACTCTGTCTCCGTTGCTTTCCTCTTTCTTAGATTTGCTGAGCAAGAAACTATTTTTCTTTCTGCAATTTCCTTTCCCTCAAAGAGACTTCAGATATGTAGGTTGTTAGCCTGGAATACTAGCACCAACCTTATTTAATATGTAGAAATGAATTTGTGTGCAAAAGTTAATGTTAACTTCTCTAACTTCTGTTACAACGAGTTTTGTGCTAAATGTCATTTGTTGTTTGACAGTGCAGGAGTACAGGCTATATTCAGATGGTCCAAATTCAACTGAAGTAACTGTGCCTCATAACCAGGAACAAAAAGGGTCCTCCAAAAATAAGCTCAGTAACTCTAAATACAATGCTGAGAAAATAGTTACTTAGATCCAATTAACAAGAGGCACATAAATTCTTTCTAAGATTAGGTCACATAAATGTAGTCCAGAGTGCACTATCATGAATTGCCTAAACAATAGATGACTCATTCTTCTATAATATTCCAGAATTTTTATGAAGAAACTGCAGAGAAGTTAACTTTTTGTAGATGTTAATATTGTTTTACTCTCTTTACAGTTGAGATTTAGAACTTTAGGTGATGTTGTGACATACATGCTGAATAATTAAACAATTAAATTCCTGTAGATCTATTGGTTGTTCAGGAGTGGATTACTTTCAGGGAATTAATTTATCATGTTGAGTAGAAGTTTCTTCATTGGCTGTATTACTAAATAGATTTTAAAGTCTGTACTGAAGATTACAGATTTTTCATTCAAGCTTTCTGTTTTATCATTAGCCCTTATGCTGTTGCAGCAATGTATTTGGTGTCTAAAACATTCAAATTGTTTGTCTGTCTGTAGAAACAGGGCAGTTTTTTCCTAGAAGATAAATAACCAGGACACATATTTTTAATTTCTTACACTACAAGGAAGAAAAATTGCTTCAACACAAGAAAAAAACTAAAATGTTTTAATTTATATTCTTTATTCTCAGCCTCCCTAGAGATGGTAAAAGGTATATATATCAGGTAGACAAAAGCATTAGTATTAACATTATATTCAATTCTTGCCTTGTAGGTAATGTCAGATAAATTTTCATTAGAATGTTCCCTTTTTTCTTAATATACCATCTAAGCAGCTTCAGAAAACAGTCTTATCTTTAACATAATTCAGGAATCTGAGCCTTTGAAATGGAAAATCATTTTCTCACCATGAGTAAACTGGAAAATATATTAAGTAAAGCTTATAATAATATTATTATTATCTCTGTGTTAGAACAAAACTGTCTGTTTGGTAATTGCTTACTGGTTTCCATCAGAATTTAGTACTGCATTTAATGTTGCTTTTTATTTAACTACTCTGCAATGGCTTTGTACAGACAATATAGATACCATAGAGACAAAAGCTAATCACCAATATAGTTGTGTACTTCAATATTTTCTTTAAAACTACTTTTGCAATATTTTTCTGATTGTTAAAGTCATTTGGGTGTATGCTAACTTCCAGAGCTAAGCTGAACAAATCTGAGCCCAGCTTTTAGGGGGTGCTCTCATTACTGCAAAACTAACAAACAGAATCACTCCATTCTGTGGGGATGCCTGTGCACTGTTCTGTGAGCTCTGCTCCTGTTGGGAGCTTGTGGAAAGCTCTGTGGTGGCTCTGCTGGAATATTAATAATTTTGTTGGAATAATTTTGTTGCTCACGAAGAACAGTATCCTGGTAACCACGGCTCCTAATTACCTCAGAAGCAAAGCTCTTTTGCCTCTAGTGTGCTGCATACGTACCCCCTGGCTTTGGTGCTATCTCTGGTTATTACACATTACACATAATCTTTCTCTTAGCTCTCTAAGATTTGTGAATGGCAAAATTGTATTTTCTGAATTTATGTAATATTTGAAAATGCATGTCTCCCCTACAGGCAGTTTTCATGTGGTTACTTGTAAACGCACCTCAGTAAGCACAACTGAGGGCACAAAACTGTACATACTGGTGACCCATGATGTATAAATCCACAAATGCATTTTAAAAACCACAACTATAACAGTACTGAGAATATAATTTTCTTGTGTGGACAATTTTAGTAGTTGAAAGCATGTGTTTGGGACTTTCCCATACAAGTTTAGACTTAAACTGAACGAGATGTGGATTTAACTAATTGTACCCTTAGGACTGTAGTTAGTATTGTCCAAATGGTTGATCTCTTGTTTGATAAAATTCTGTTTGTTGTGCCATAGAATACGTTAAAGTATGAAGAAAAAAGCAAAGCTAAAATTAAATCATAAGTCATAATTTCACTGCAATTTAATTTAATGTATTTTTTGAATGTCTATTAGGAAAGCGGATTTGCAAAGCTGTTAATAGTACTTGCAACCTTTACTGAAGGTAAGAGAATTCATACTGCATAATTACACTATTTACACTTTTTAATTATGATTTTTTTGTAATTTATCTACAATTTTCTTCATAGTTAAAATTCCCAACCCCTTGGTAAAAGGTCTTAAGCTTACCTACTCTTATGAGGACTTCGAGATGAAGAAGTTACTATTTAATGTAATAGGAGTTTTGTCTAAAGACCCATGTGCTGTCCAGGTAAGCTGTCATAGAACAGAAGGTACAGTAAGGAAAAAAATGGTTCAAAAGAATCACAGGAATATTATTTAGCTGTCCATTTGGCATGGTCCGGTAGACTGAACTCAGCTGTTCTCCAAATCAAGGATCCATACATAGCTTCAGACCAAGTCCTGCTGTTTGAAAGCAGCATACAATTTCTGTATTTAGGTTACAATCGTAAACTGTACTAGGAACATGGGCTCACAAGTGACTGCAAAGCATTATTGCAATACATGTGAAGAACATAATAATCTGTAACAAACCACAGCCTGTGTGAGTGCTACAGAATATAAACAGAGTTTGTCTGTACTTTTGTTGTTCATGACATACCTTCTGTCCTGGTTCCGTGTAAAAA